GGGGACATGTGGAGGGATGTCTTCTGAGAACTGAAAGGTGGAAGTCTCAGGGCATTACTTGTGAAACCACTTCCTGAGTTCTGTCAGAGGCGGGTTCAGGCCTGGGAGAGGAAGGCACATTTGGTTCCCACACGGGAAGGCAACTTCAGAGTGAGGATGGCTGGGAAGGGATGTCTGACTTTGTGGGGAGCTGGCTCCCTGGCCTGGTTGGGAGGGGCCTTATTAGAGATGCTCTGTGAACCTCCAGCTCTGCAGGTAGGTCCATGTGTCCTTCCAGCTGAGCTGATGGAGTGGCCTCAATCTTCCCAAACTACTCTTTTGGAAAGCCCCATTCTGAAGAGCAGAGTAGTGCTATTTGTCATGCTGGGGCTAGGATGCTGGGAAGCAGTAGTGCAGGTGTGCTGGTAGCCCTAACTTCTCTCCTGCAGGTACAACCTTGCTTCTGTAAAGTCTTTCTTAGAAGGCCTCTGTGTTTTGCACTTTCCTTCCTTTCTTTGAACCCATATGGCATGTTTCCCTGGGTTTGTGGAAGGCTACTGAATGAGAGGACCCTGAAGGTGAGCTTCTGGTTTTCCTGGAGGCATTGGTAGAGGCCTGTGGGCAGCAGGGCACCTGGGAGGAACTGTAGGGTCAGTGCCTCCTGCCAGAGGCTGCTGCTGGACCACAGTCCTTCTCCTGTGTCTCCTGCTTTGCAGTCTCTGGTTCTCATGTCTGTCTCTTTGGAGCACCCTTTGGAGGCTTACTGGACACTGAGCAGGGCTTTTGTAGTCTGACCTCACTCACCAAGTGCAAGCCAGGCACAGTGCCCAGACCAACCACCCTATGCTACACCTCTACCAAAGTGGGCCTGGCCCTCTGAAGTTCAGCTGTCATTTTTGTTGGAGCCATCTGAAGGCTGGTGTGCCTGTGTCCAGTCTCCAGTCACAATGTCAAGGCCTTACCTGTCAGCCATGGCAGGTCTTTTCACAATACACACTTTTTTTTTCCTTTTTCTTTTTCTTCCCCTCCCCTCCCCTCTCATCTCCCTTTTCTCTCTGTTGTCATTCTTTTCTCATTGTTTGAATTTCTTTTTCTTTTTTGGCAGTACTGGGATTTGTACTAAGGGCCTCAAGCTTGCTAGGCAGGTGCTCTACCACTTGAGCCACACCTCCAGCCCTGTTTGGATTTCTGAAAATCCATCTTCCTTCTCTAGATTTTGAACAAATTGAGAAATAAAACAAAGTAGTGACAGATGGAAACCAAGGAATAACTTTTATTCCTGCTAAATGAGAGGCTTGAAATTCTATCATAGTGGGAGTCAAATAAACCATGATGATTTAGGCTCCTACCTCAAGCCAGTGCTGCTGGGCTGGTGTGGGCCAATCTCCCATACAGCAGAGCTCTGGTGGAGCTGCCTCTGAGTCCTCGAGGGGGCTAAGCCAAGGCCCTCTGCTTGTAAAGGTTTAGCAGTATGTCATCTTCCAGTCCAAGTGTTTCTGAGGATGGCAAATATGCAGGAGAAGCACCACTTGAGCTCCCACTACTTGGAAACAGACCCCAGGTCTAGGGAATGTGTTGCCCTCTAGTCTTTTCATCTTCTTGTTTCCATAACCGTTGGGTCCCTGTTTAGCCTGGATGGGGAGATCCACAGTTCTTTTAGCTTACCCAGCCCCAGTGAGACCTCTTGTTCCTTGGGTTAATACCTGCGATGACCCAGGTAGGAGTGAGCTGGTAGAGCTGTTCCTGACGACTGTGAAGTATGTTTCAATAGAATATTAATTATTCAGTAGTCTGAAAATTTCCCTGTCCCCAAGGTGTGCCACTCTCCAGTTTATTTCTTGACTGTAATTCTGTCAGCTGAACTGTTCAACCTGGCTGATCAGTAATTTCTTCATGAGGTTAAATGACAGTGTATAATTGTGCCACAACTCAGAATGTCCCAGATTTGAAATAAACCTCCTATGTCACCCAGTCTCCCAGGGGAACTTTAGACTTACAACTCACCTTTTCCAGTTCAGGTCCAAAGATGATGACTTTCAAATGACCTGAAGTCTAGAACTAAACTTTCTTATGCCAATTAAAGTCTAGACATGTTTTAGCTCACAAGTTGCCCTTAATTTCTGCTACCTCTCTGCCCCAGCTAATGGAATGCTCCAGCTCTCTGGGAAGAGCACAGTGCCATCAGGCCCAAAAGTCCTAAACATTAGAAACATAGTCACTGACAGCCCCTACTCAGAGAACTCAGCTTTTAGGACTCATAAGCTTCTCAGAGTACTGGCCACCAGATCTAGAAAACAATCTTTCTAGGTCCTAGGGCAGTTGTGGTGAGATCATTGTCCCTGAGCCCAGCCTTCCTGCCTCCTGGTGTCACAGAGGGCCTGGCATGGTTCTGAATGAGGTGGGCAGGCAAAACTTTCTTGGTTTTGCCCTGCAAAGGTGTCAGCATGGGGTCCAGAGCCTGTCACTTGAATTTTACCTACAAGAGCTCTCAGCAATCCCTTAATCTCTTGAGGTCCACAGTGGAGTAGACCCTGCATTTCCACTGATGGGGAACAGAGCTCTGTATGCCTTGTAGGCAGGTTTAATTCTGTGTCACGGTGGGTGCCGCTCCTGCTGTTGTCGGTGGGGAGGTGGGAGGAGCATGCAGAGTATGTCAGATGCAGTCAAGTACTTCTCCCATTTGACTTCAGCCTTAGGAATCTCTTCTGGCCTGATGTTGTCCTCAGCCTCACCTCTGTCTCTCTGAAGATCCCCACCTAGGACTTAGGAGCTATGCTAATGAGTGCTCTCACCATTGTCCTGTGGGGCCTCTAAGGGCTGATCCCTCTCTTCCAACTCTGTTGTCCTTCCTCCATGTTTTGACTCTGTAAACCCCATGGGCGTATCCCTGTCCCCTAGATAGGGGTTGTCTGTGTGATTGGCCATGTCTAGGACTCCCTCCAGGTGCACCCTTCTCCAGGGTTTTCCAGTCCTGAACCTGAGGATGGGAACTTCAAGTCCAGATAAGTCCCTCTGCCTCCCTCTGGGCTCTAAATGTTGGTGCAAGATGGGCAGCTACTCTGTGTTACTCATTCAGATCTGCCCCAGCTCTGGGAAGCTAGCACCTCCCTCAAGCCGGGTGCCTGCAGAGACCTGGTGTCCTTGGGATGCAGGCAGAAGGACTGCCTCCTCTCTGCAAGGCTACACACATGCTTCCTATAATCTAGAGAATATCCAGCCAGGCATGTGCTTACCTGCCCAGACCAAGGCCCTGTTGCCTGTGTCTTTGCTGAGGCCAGGGGGCCGGCTTCCCTTTTTCTGGCTGTGGGCCCTCCCCAATGGCACTGTCTGAGAGCAAAGCTTGTATGTGCTCAGATGACAGACTGCAGCACTGGTCCGTCCGGAGCCCCTTCTGCTCCCTAGAGGTTCAGAGCCTGAGCCTGGACTGCACCAGTAACTTGAGGTCCAACCCTGTCATTTTGGTAGCCCCCGATTGACTTTTCCTCTCTTTAAAATATCTTAGTGGGTCTTAGAAGCCCCAATGAAGTTCATCCTTTAAGTCTCTTCTATTAATTTTTTATTGCTAGTATAACAAAATTACCTTAGACTTTGTGGCTTAAAAGAACACAGATTTATAATCTTGGTTCTGGAGGTCAGAAGTCCGATTCAGGTCTCATGAGGTCCAAATCAAAGTGGTGCAGGGCTGTGTTCCTTTTGGAGGCACTAGCAGAGAATGTGCTTCCCTGTCTTTGCCAGTTCCTGGAGACACCCATATTCCTTGGCTCATGGCTCCATCCTCTGACCTTAGAGCCATTGAGTCCTGCTCATATGGCTTCCCTATGACAACCACTCTTCTGTCTCCCTCCCACTTTTAAGGACCCTGTAATGACATTCTACCTGGATAACCTGGGCAACCTCCCTTCCTGCCTCAGTGCCATCTGCAACCTTTATTCCCCTTTGCCCTGTGAGGTGGCATGTCTATACTACTAGGGATTAGGATGTAGGCATCTTTGGAGTGGCCATTATTCTGCCATCTACAGTCATACCGATGAGTCTGCATTGAGCCTACTAACACGCAAGTTTGGTCAAACAAGAACAGTGGGCACTGGCTGGGCCACCTCGGGCTGACTCTGGGAATAGCCTCCTTCCAGAGAGGAACTGCATCAGCATCACCACCATGGGGTGAAATGGGGCTTGGCCTTCTCCCCTGGCTTCCCCCAGTCTCTTGCATGAGCTCTCTTAGGTGGTCACAGTGGTAGTAATAGAGCTGCCATTTCCTGATTTCTGGCTGTATGTGAACCCCTTCCATGAGCCACTTTTGTTATTTCCTTGAAGTCTCAGAGCATTCCAGAAGGCAGGTGGTTATTCTCAGATTACAGATGATGAGATGGGATCACAAAGAGCTTCTGCTACTTGCCAGGGTCACAGAGCTTTTAAGTATTAGAGCTGGGGTCCTGTTTCAGGTCCCTCTCATTTAAAACTGCAGATTTCCCTGTTCTGACTTGCATAGGAGCCTCATCTGAGCTCACCATCCAGTCTCCGAGAGCAGTTACGTGCTCACTTCTTTCTTGCAGTGACTTGTCATTAGCACTTGATTGTCACATGATGCTCCTCCTGTTAGTGCTGGGACATTCACCATTCCCCATTGGCTCTTCCTGTCCAGGTGTCAAGCAAGATGGTCATTCCAGCAGAAGACTCTTCTCAATAAACTACACACATGGGCTTTTGTTCTTCCAATTTAAATGTAAATACCTTCCATTTACATAGAGAAACACACGTTAAGTATTCCTTGCAATGAGGGTACATCCTCTGACTTCAGAACATGGGGCTTCCTCTCAAAGTGAGGCCCCCCCCATTTTACGTGGTATGGGTGTTATGCAGTGTGCACCCCCTCATTTGTTTCTCAGGGTAAAACCTAGCAGTTTGTGAACTTGGTTGTAAAACTGTCCATTGTGATGAAGATGCTTCGTTACCTTTTTCCTCCTATGGAGTGTGTGTCTTACTTTATATGCACATAATACACATTATTATTTCTTCTGTAGGACAACTATACCTTTGCCCAACCTGGGATTCAAATGAAAGTGAAGATGTTGGAAGAACTGGTGAGCCGGATTGATGGTAAGCTAGCTTCCTAAACAGACCCTCACTGAAGGCAGGGACAGGGTTGGGAAGGGTCAGGAAGGTGGCCCTGACCTTCACCGCACAAGATGCTGTTCTCATCCTCATTTGGCTCGTGGTACTTAGGATTGCTTGGATTCACCTATGTACAGCCCTCTGAGGCAGCCATAGAGCCAGAGCTGCTCCCGCCCCTTACTCAATGCTATAGTCCAGATGCAGGAAGGATCTGGCAGAAGGGTAATAGTACATTCCTAGCAGGAGCCCTCACTGCTGAGTAAGTGGGGACTGTCTCATCTGGACGACAGAGTGGTTGTTTATGGCCATCCTTTGGCACTCTCTTTCCTGCCTGTGTGCTTCATTTTGCTATCAAGGAGGCTAGAATAATTTCTTCATGGAATCCAATTAATTACCAAGTCTGGAAATAATATCTTCAATATTATAGAAAAATTATAGTGTGTGCTCAGGCAATTTTAGATTATGCTTTCATGTTCAAGTGGGGGCTTTGAAATACTTTTTACCTTCGTCCTTACAATAATTCCCCCTGCGATGTGCTGACTGTCATATTGCAATAGCAGAGTTTAATTAAATGAAAGTTGAGCGATAATGCTTGCCCATTCCAGGCATATTCTCCTGATAGTTTGTTAAATTAATGAACAGAGCATTAACAAAGTGATGCCAAGCAGAACCAGGAATATATTTGACCAGCTGGTCAGCAGTGAGCTGCAGTAAAGAGACTCATTCTTTCATAAAGAGTCCCAGGTGAGCCTGGCAAATCATTTCACCAAATGTACAGAGAACTTGAACTTTATTTAAAGGTGGCAGGGTGCCTTCTGCATGCATGTGGGTTCCCGAGCCCACTCTCACTGCCATAAGAGTAGAAAGCCATCATAGCAGTCCTCACAGGAAGGCACTAGGTTTGGGAAGCGACTGAGTGACATTATAAAATGGAGCCATGCAAATTAAAAACTCCATTCTGTTCTTGATTGAATCTGATTTTCAGCTTTGTGTCTAATGGTTATTACCTAATTTCCATATTATGAAGTCTTTCAGTTCTTCCAATGAGACTTTATTTCTTTCAGCATATATTTAGCTACTTTCTAACCTATCTATTCAAAATACTCTTTTGCCTCTGTCAGTGCATTTATGTGCATTTATTGTACTCACACAGTACAGTGTTGGCTTGGCTGTGCTTGGGTTTTTCTTATGAGCAGTTTCCCAAGTGACTCCTAGTCTCACTTAGTTCTTTGAAATATGATTTGCAGTAGCTGTGAATTACACGTTCTTGGCAGGTTCTTCTTTTTCTCCTGTGCCCCATAGAAGGTGTATTTTATATTTTCTGTGCAGTTAGAAAGTTGTGGCCAGTGCTCGTTTGCTCTGGTGCTGCAGTTGGGAATGCTGGAATTGGTTTTCTCTGCTTCTGAGGTTCAGAAGGAAACACATGCAGATTTGCTGGGTGATTGTTTCACAGCACGGCTGCAACCACCCGAGGAACTCACCCAGATCCTCGCTCTTCACTGAACCATTCCTTTATTTCCCTGAGCCTTCTGAGTGGGGCGTTTTCATCTGCACGTTTCTGCTCCAAGGAGCGTTTTTTCATAGCAGAGGGAAGCCTCCAGTGTAGCAGGCTGAACTGTGTAACCTGCTTTCCTTTTTCAGTGGGGGGTGGGGGCAGTACTGGGGTTTGCTTGCTAGGCAAATATTCTACCACTTGAGCCATACCACAGCTCTTTTTCTTTAGTTATTTTTTTAGGTAGAGGCTCAATTTCTTGCCCAGGGCCAGCCTCAGACCATGATCCTTCTACTTAGGGCCTTCTGCCTTGTCGAGATCACAGGCATGTGCACCATGGCTTGTTGGTTGAAATGGGTTCTCACTAACTTTTTGCCCAGGCTGGCTTCAAACCATGATTGTCCATCTCCACCTCCCAACTAGCTGGGATAATAGGTATGAGCCACTGTGCCCAACTTGTTCCTGTTCTTCTGATGAAACCTTAGAGCACACAGGACATGCGTAGAATCTGCAGGCTCAGGCCCTGGCCAGGAGCCCTCATCCCTCAGCAGCACTTGGAGAAGTGCCAGGGCCACACTCTGGGAAGCTCTATCTCCTGCTCACTATCACCTCTTGAAGAAAGAATTTGCAGGCTGGGAGCTCCTGCAGAGACTGTAAAGATTTTATGAAGGACAGGATATAGTGGGAAGAAAAAAATTGCTTTCTTATAAAAAGTCTACTGTCTGACGTCTGCATTTTCAGGGAAGGTCAGCCTTTATTTCCAAAAAATTTGACCCTTGAATGAGAGAAATCCTTCCATGGACTTGCTGGTGAAGAAAGGTGAGGTGTTGTGGGCAGGTCCAGGTGGGGGGAGTTCAGAACATTGCTGGATTGCTCTGCAACACCAAGTTAAGGAACTCTGAAGTTCCATTGCTGCTGGTGTGAGGGTCTGGGCCCAGAGATCGACGGAACAGAGCTGGGAAGAGAACGGGGGGCAGTGAGAAGGAGGTCAGAGCCAGGCAACATCACTACACTATTTTCTTGTGGTAAGAAGTGATTAAAGAACTCCAAAAGGTAGGCTGGTGGAGTAGCTCAAGTGATAAGAGTGCCTGCCTAGCAAGCGTAAGGGCTGGGGCATAGTTAAAGTGGTAGAGCACCTGTCTAGCAAGTGTAAGGCTCTGAGTTCAATCCCCAGTACAACAATAACAACAACAAAAAGTTGGGTTTTTGGTGTGGCTCAAGTGGTAAGAGTACCTGCCTAGCAAGTGTGAGGCCCTGAGTTCAAATAAACAAAAAATTCAATTCCAAAAGACACTTTCAAGTACTTTCCTATGTTGAGAAGCACCCTCTGCTACGCTGAACTTCCAGTGTTAGTGTCAGTAGAAATGGTGACATAGTGAAGGAAGAGGGTCAGCTCTGTAACCAAAGCCACCAGGAGGAGGTGGCACTAGCCCACCTAGATGGTACTGGGTAGGGAACAGTGACCCCGCCGGAGCAGTCAGGGTAGATGTGGTCTGGCAGAAACCTAGAGCTTCCCACAGATGACCACTTGAGCTACTAAGTTTGAGACTGAAGAAAAAGGGGAGAGCAGGAGGAGTTTCCAGTAGCAGCAGGGTGGATATTTTTAGCCAGGCTTCCCACAGAACACAATTAAATCAGCTGGGTAAGAGTTTTTCTAAGCTAGCAAAACAAAAAGGAAAATAAATTTCTTAAAAGTATTGAACTTCTATCAGGGGAAAAAGAACTTCCTGGACAAGAATGCTAGGCCTTAGAGAAGCCCAGCACCAAACACTGTTGTAGTTTTGGCAGCTTCATGGGGTGTTGTGTCCAACCCTGGCTTATTCAGGATAGGGAACCCAGGAAATGCCCCTCTACTGCTGAGAGCAAGAAGACTGACACACTCGCGTACCATGGCATCACGCAGACATTATACAATCCCGTGGTCCATCTTTAAGTTAGTCTAGCATCAAGTCATGGAGGCCGGGCCAGCCCTCCTCACCCTCTAGTCCAGCTTCAAGTAATGGAGGCTGGGCCAGCACTTACCACCCTCCAGTCCAGCTTCAGGATCATGGAATACCAAGGTTGTTTGAACCTTGATCATGGAGAATCTATATGGGAATTCCTCAAAAGGCTCATGAGATGTAAGCAAAACCTTTTCTGGAGGAAGCTACCGGAACTCAAATTATATCTACAAATACTCTGTTTTCAAATAAAATGACTTGCACATATTTAAGACTCCTTAAAGTAAGAGTAAATGGATAATAGAAACAGGTCCATTAAATGGTGAGCTATTTATCATCCTTAGGCATACACTGTAAAACTACTATTCTTACTATTAAAAATGTGTGAAAATGTCTGCATGAGCAATTTGAAAAATGACCAAGGTATTGTGGAATTGAAAAACATGAAAACCAAATTAAGATTTCACTGGGCAGGCTTAACAAATCAGACACAGCTAGTGAGAATGTTAGTGAACTGAAAGATGAATTAGAAGAAAATAGTTCTCGCAAAGCACAGAGAGCACAGATGAGATGTGATAGGTGTGGTTAAAAAACCTGGTATGTATTTGGGCTTATAGTGGGAGAGGAAAAGAGAGATTTTAAGAATTTGAAGAGACAATGACTAAGATCTTTCCAAAATTGTACCAATTCACAGACTGAAGAGGCCCATGAAACCTGAGGAGGATTAGTAGAGAAAACTGTATATGCAGACACATCATAGTCAGTTTAATTCAACTAAGCACAGAGAGAACTTTTTTTTTTTTTTGGAGACAGGGTCTTGCTTTGTAGCCCAGGCTGGCCTTGAATTCTCGATCCTCTTACATCAGCCTCCCGAGTCAGTGCTGGGATTACTTGCATGTACCCACAGAACTCCAGGGAACCTGTGTGCAGATGGGTATGTGTGTGCAGAGGTCTGCAGCCCACAGGCCAGCCTGGACCGCATGGCAGAGACTGGTGTAGTGGTGTTTGTGTGGGATGCTGCTGCACTATTCTGTTGGGGTACATATGTTCCAATCCCTCTGCCCTTTCAGTGCCTGCCACTGTGTTGATACTCTCATCAATACACATGTCCTTTGCTGCCTCCTTTTCTTCTTGTCTTTCTTGTCGTGCTTCTTTCTCCTTTGGTGGCCACCATTGATTCCTGTCTCTGCGTACATGCTGTGTTCTTCTCCAAGGCTGTTTAGATGTGACTCCTTGTGCCTAGTTTACAAGCACATGACTTTGTACTAGAACTGCACTGAGTCTGCATAGGAACCAAATCCTGAGTGGCCAGATGTAAAATTCCACATCACCCAGTTATGCTCTGGGAATATGCTCTAGATCTCGTTGGCTTAGAGCAGCATATATTCCTTCCTTATATGGCTTACCCCTTATGGCTTGCCAAGCTCTCTGTCCTGCTTGTCCTTACATTGGGATTCCAGCTGATGTTGTTTGCTTTTGGGAATGTCCTTGGCAGTGCCTGTGGCAGAAGAAGGGACTTGGAAATTGTGCAAGGGCTCTCACATGTCCAACAG